CTGTCCCCGCTCGCCCGCCGGGCCGGGGGTGCACGCGAGGTCCCTCCCGCGTTTTGGAAGGGAAGGAGCCGCTCTCCCAATTTGGCTGTGTTTCCATAGCAACCGCCCTTTCCTTCCCGGCAGCGCGGGCGCTGCTGGCGGAGGGGAGCGACTCCCGGCGCTGCCAAGGGCAGGGTCGGAGCTGGCTCGGCAGGTGCCGGCGCAGGGAGTGAGATCCGGCCTGACACCGAGCGTGCGTTGAGCCAGCTCTGCCCAGGAGCATCCCTGGGGATCCAGGCATCCTGGTCCTGCGTGAGCATGGAGCTGGTCCTCCTTGGGAGCATCCCTTGGGGACCGTGACAGATTGGGGACCAGCCTGGCACTGCGCGTGCACAAAGAGTCAGCTCTGCTCGGGAGCATCCTTGGGGACTGCGCAGGCTTGGGATAAGCCTGGCTCTGTGCACAGGAGGAGCCGACCCTCCCGGGAGCATCCTTGGGGACTGCAGAGGCTTGGGACCAGCCCGGTTCTCTGTGCAGGAGGGAGCATCCTTGGGGACCGGGGGCACCAGGGACTGGTGCGGCTTCGCCCACTCGGTGCCAGTGTGGGATGCACGGGGACTGTTCCTCAATGCTCCAGCTGCACTGCTGCTCCCAGGGAGCCCCACAGCTGAAATCCGTCCCCTCACGGAGCACTGTGACCTTCAGCGTGGCCAGGCCGGATGAGCGCCCGGCGCATCGTTCCCGCTCTCCCAGGGCCAGCTCGGCTTTTCCATGCATAATCTCGCTGGTGCTGGGCTCTCCCATGAGCTCTCCGGAGCCTGAACTTCTTCCCGTACGAGGAATCATAGCATGCAAATCAGGCAGCTCGATGCCTTTAATGAAATCCTCCAAAGGAAAGCGCCTCTCTGGCGAATTGAGGATATTTATTTCGCATACAAGAAATTTAACATGCAGATTAGTTGGGTCTGGTAATTTATCACATGAGATTGTCCTATTAAGGGCTGCATCTAGCCCTGCTGCCTTCAGAAATTGCCTTGCCCATCCATTACCTCTGGACAGACTCCCATCCATGGGGAGGCATCTCCCACCTCCCAAAGTGTCACCATTCCCTGCTCCTCTCTGCACAGCCGGGGGGTCCCGGAGCCCCCAGGCCCTTTGCCAGCCCCCGTGCCCCTGCACAGCCTCTCCTTGGGTTGCTGATTGGCAATTACCAGGAGTTGGTAATTAGCAGGGGTTATTAAAGGCCTGGTGAGGGGAGTGGGTGCTTCTGCAGGGAGGTGCTTGTATCCTTGTCCTGCTGGCTTTGCCCTTTGGCATTAATGCCCACATCAGTTATCCCGTGGCTTATGGGGCCAGTTGAGGCCTTGATTTATGGTGCCACTGGAGTTCCTGAAATTCCTCTGGATGAAGGAAACTGCTTCCCTGGGCAGCAGAGAGGCCGCCGGGGCCAAGGCAGAGCCCTCCCTGCATGGAGCCAACGCGGGAATGATGGAGCCCCGGGATGGGGATTGCCTCGCGCTGCAGGCAGCACGGGGACCCGCCGCTCACTGCCGGGACTCGTTCAGCCTCTGCTAAGTGTGTTTTAATGCTCACTTGACATTTCATTACCGCGCAGTAACTCTTCAAACACGGGTCCCCTCCAGGATTAATTAGTCGTTACCCAGGGTGTTAATCAAGGAGGGCCGTGCGTTTAGTGCAGCCAGGTCCAGCCGCTGCTGTTCGGGGCTGCACGGGATAGATCCTTCTGCACCCTTTGGCTTTAGCTGGATCGGCCCCTCCAGCAGGGGCTGCTCCCTGCGTCCCGGGGCAATGTGAGCTCTGCCGGGGCTCCTGTCCCACTGCTCTTCCCAGCTGGAGGGCTGCCTGTCCGGGCAGGATCTGTGCATTCACTTCCCAGCTCGGATCCCAGGCTGCGGAGGCCTTGGCTTCATGCACACGATCCAACCGTCCGTCGGCTCGAGCAGAGCTGACGTTGGATGCTTTGCAAAGCCGCCGCTCCCCTGGGATGCGTCTCCCGGCTCCGGATCCCCTTCCTGACCTGGCGGCCTGGAGCGCGGCCCGGCCGCTTCCCAGCGGCGCCTCGAGGCGGCTGCTGTCCTTCGTCACTGCGTTTTTCCGCGACACGGGTCACCTCCTCCCGCGGACGCGTTTTCCCCACGGACGATGCTCTGTCAGCTCCGTCTTTCGGAAACGAAACAAACAAGTGCCGAAACGGAGGTGTCAGTGCCCAGGGCTGCCCCGGGAGCCTGGCGGGGCTCCGGGCCGGCTCCAGCGGCTGTGCTTGCTCCACGGGGCGGCCCGGCCTGACCTGCAGACAGCAGCGCCGGGAACTCTGTTGCCACCGGCCGGGCTGCGCTCGTCGGTTCCGGCCGGGATGCGCTGGGGGTATCCGTGTATCCACGCTTCCCTGCATGCTGCGCTGAGGAGTCGCATTGTGCAAGTGGGATCTGTTAACTCGGAGGGTGCACCCGTGGCTCCTGCACGTGCCACGTTCCCCTGCTGCTCGTCTCTCTGCTCCCCAACTCTCCTCCTGGGGTGGCGAATCCCTGGGATAGCGAATCCCTGGGATGTCGCTGTGGATGCAAACGTGCCTGTGCTGCGGAGGCCGTGCCGGCTCCTGCACTGGCTTCACCAGCCCGGGTGTGATGCTCTGGTTAATTTATCAAGAGAGCAAACGAAGTCACACTGAAGCTGTGCAGGGCACTGAGCTGCGGCTTGGGGGCGTGGCTGGCGCCGGCG